AACTACATCGTAATTCATCGTTTACATATCGTCGTATCTGTCAACGTTTACGACTGACGTATCTCGTCGTAATTTAACGTATATTGTAGTATACGGTCGTGAGTCCTCGACCTGGGAACCGATTACTTTTCTTTTGATCAACTACTTATGTTATGAAAAGGATAGATTAATTTTTTCATTTTGATGTAGCTGATTTTTTACACGCTTTTTTTACGAAAACAGCAATCCAATTCAATTTTTTAAATTAAGAAGTTTATATAAGCCGACAAGGTTTAAGTAACTGGAATGCAACTTTAGAGGAAGAAATATGTCACAGATGAACTGAATTTACACGATGTTTTTCGAAAAATCGTAGCATACCGCAAACTACCAGCAACGTCGACCGACTGATTATACTTCATACTAATGTTGGTATACCGGTCGGCGTTATAGTTCATACCGGTAAAGGTTGCACCTCTGATTGCTAATGGCTTTAGTAGATAAATTTCCAAGTTCACCAAAGTTTCTAGCACTAAAAAGACTTTTTGACTATTCCAGTAGTCAAAGTTCAAATTATTAATTTATAGGCCAAAAAATGCAGCACTTCGTGCTCTATTAGAGTGTGTAACTTAGAAAATAATACTGCTACTTTTATATCTAGAAAAAAAAGTAGGGAATACCAGATGTCGCTCGTCAGGATAGGTCCAAAAAGTGGAAGGAAATGATCTTTTTCAAAACTCGTTTTCGTTCGGATTTTACCTAAAAATCATTATTTCTGATTCCAAAAAAAACATGATTTTGTAGAGAATTCTTTGCTGAAATGTTCGGTACACCTTATTTTGTTGAATAAGTGATTTTTAGCGAGATTTTGCGCAATAAATCGATTTTTGGAAGGTGCAGTTAAAAAATGTGGAGTTCTTGTTACAGTTACTGCAGCAAACATCAAAGATGAATGTTAAAAATGAATATACAGTTTTGTAGATAATTGAATTTTCTATTGTTTATCAAAAGGAAATTTTTTATAAATAGAAAATAATAGAAAAATGCATTAACATTTAGTGTAATTTATTATAGGCCAGTCGTTAGGAGATTTTATGGATGGAAAACAAAGAAAATTTATTTTAAAAAAACCGTAAAAGTTATTGTTTTTATTGTTATTGTGAATAGAATAACTATTAAATTTACCTATTTATTCTAGATCATCCGTTAAAGGCTGTCATATAATATACAAACAAATACGAAATATTTAACAGCTATCCTATTAGCACCCTTGGACAATGAGCCATAAATCTGAACAGTTACAATCTTAACATATTACAAAAAAGCTAATATTTTCTTCACAATAAAATCCAAATACCAATATCGAAGAGAACGTATAATGTCATTCAATGACAACTTTCTAATTTAAATTCGATTCAAACATAACATAAAAATATAAATAAATTAAACATTGAAAAAAAAATAGGACAACAAACAAAGCAAACACGCTTTATAACAACAAATAAGCATCATAACTTTTTAAGTAAATTTTGATACTTTAGTCAAAATTATCCTCTTAACTGATTTCCTACCGGCGATTCATCCTGGTTTTTATCATCTTTTTTCATATCTGCTATTATTGGATGTTCAAGAACTCGATCGATTAAACCATATCGTTTAGCATCTTCAGGGCTAAGAAATTTATCTCGTTCCATCATTTTTTCTTTAAATAAAATGGAACAAGAGAGAATTATTTGATTATTTATTAAACAAAGATCCTTACCAATATCTTCTGCAGATTGTCCAGTATGTTTTACATACAAACGATTAACATTCTTTTTCAGTTTCTAAACGAAATGATACATTTATACTATGTAAGCGAGAGAAAAATGAAAAAGAGCCAAAATATCATACCAATATTTCTTCAGCATGGATCAAAATATCACTTGCTTGACCCTAGATTAAACACGATATATTAGAAATAGAAATACTAATATTGTTTGTTGAGAAAACGTTGATAAACGTGAATAATATTTGTACGACTAACTCAACTATATTCATTATGAATTAAATTCATTCTGTTCAAGTGAAAAGTTGGTGAGAAGGAAAATTAAGAATACACTAGAACAGTACGAAAAGCAACAAACACAGTATATAACATCCATGGTAACTACTGCAGAAAAATGACCAAAGGAAAAGTTCTTCTTGTCTCTTATATATCATGATAATGAAACAAAGGTGTTAACTGAAAAATTAAAAAAGATCTTAGAAAAATTGTATCCGACAACAGAAGTCACATTTCGTATTGAAAAAAGGTTTAACAACACAAAAATTATTTGCGAAAAATTACAAAGGTGTTGACGACACGAATACTGGTGTGATTTACAGAATTAATTGTACTAAATGCTCTAAAAGATCTATTTTGGACAAACAAAGTTGAGAATGATGCAAACAATGGAGCAACATCAGGCTGGACTCAAAGAAGAAGGTAAATCTGCAGCAGCTGATCACATGTTTCACAATAAGGGTCACGTTATTCAATTCAATAAATCAATAATTATAAGTAGGAATATAAATTTGAAAAGGAGAGAGATCAAAGAAACAAACACTACAATGAGACATCCTCATGTAGTATACAATAAGATTAGTTATCAAATGTTAATATTTAAATGAACAGTGCATCTAAGCAGTCCTTTTTTCTTCTCTTTTCAGTCTGTATTTTAGTTGTAAGCAAGGAAGAGAAACACTGAAATAGATATCTATTGTTATTCTCCTCCTTACACTGTTTAAAAGTACGTTCAGTGATTCGCTGATAAGATCAGGCGATGATCATCCCATTTTCTGTTTGACATATATATATCTATACGTCGTTTCTCTTATCAAATATCTTATTGATGATGACTCTAGTCTCAGTTGAAAGCTTCTATATTATTAAATAAAGTAATAAATATAGTTGAGTTAGTCGTACAAATATTATTAGAAATAGATAAAAAGCGTTGCTATATTCGTTACCTGTACACCCCCACTTGGTTGGTGAACCATAATTCTTGAATTTGGTAATGAATGTCTCATTCCATGTGTACCAGATGCGAGCAGCAAAGATGCCTAGAAAAAAAAGAAATTATCCTTACTAAAACAAAGATTAAGTAATTGTTACTTACCATTGAACATGCTTGTCCAACACACCAGGTTGCAATTGGTGGGGTCACATATTGCATTGTATCATAGATCCCCAAGCCGGCCGTAATCACTCCTCCTTAAAACATAAAAAGATCCAGTTATTATGAGTAAAAAATGTTTGGCAAAGAATATCTATACCGGGACTGTTGATGTACATATGAATAGGTTTTTTTGTACTTTCTGATTGTAAAAACAATAGTTGTGCAACAACCACGCTGGACAATTCATCAGTTATCTATGTACAACAATAAAATAACGACGATGAGTATGAAAAACCTACTGACATCAACACATGGAACAAAGAAATGTTCGCCTACTAGCATAACTCACTGGTCCCATTAAACATATTATTCGTTCTTTTAATAATCTTGAATAAATATCGTAGGCTCGTTCACCGCGTCCACTTTGTTCAACAACAATTGGTATCAATGGATACAGTTGTTTCGATGTTGTATATATAGAACGAATTGATTCTCCAAATTGAATTTTCTAAACCGAACAACAATTTTTCATTAATTTTATCATTCTTTAGTGATTTAAAAAACAAACATACTAGTTTTGTTAGAATTGAATGCATTGAACTATGCTAATATATTCACAATATTATCTAAAACAAAAGACAAAACATTTATAAAACTCGTCAGGACAGAGATCATTTGTAATATTCTTCTGAAAAAATAATGTATGAAACTGTCGGAGATGAAAATAAGAACAATTTGTACACACGTAATACTGAAAACATTTTAAAGAACTTTTGCAAAAAAAACTAAAAACTTTCAAAAGCAATAATAATTAAGAGTCATGGTCATTTTCTTCTAGACATTTATTTAAAAATTTTTCAAGATAATTTTGAATATCTTTCCCATTGTTCCATTCCATATAACTAGCATTTATAAAACCACTATTGTTTAACATGTACTGTTTCAATTCTACGGCCATTTTATATCCTTGCCTAGCACAAACAAGATCATTTTTTTTTAATGATTTTGCTGCGCACACATCATTATGACCATCACCAATAAAAATCACAATATTCTGCTCAAGTTGATTATTTGTTGATGAAAAAAATGTTTTACGATAATTGTCAATTATTTCGCCTTTACACATATTAATCGGACATGTATTACATGATTTTTCATCCAATCTTCCATAGGGCTGTATTAATAAACATTCTTTATTCTCATCATATGAAGCAGGATTTGTAAAAATGTCTTGAAACACATGATCTAGCCCATTATGTTTCAATATTGTATCAATAAACAACTGATTTGAATCACTAACAATAATTAATGTAGAAATTTTTGACAAATACAAGAGAAGTTCTTTAAAATGTTCTGTTAATTGCATCTGTTGCATACATCGAATATAATCTGACTTTTTAATACCAATTGTTTGAAAATATTGAAATAGTTGTTCCATATGATATGTCCAACATTGAGGTTTTTTGTCAAATACAATCGATTGTTTTTCACCTTCTGGTATAAATTTAGTAACAACAATGTCGGTATTTTGGTCAACTATTGTATGATCAAAATCACATACACAAAGAATTTTTTTATTATTCATCTGTAATTATTGGACATAATAATAAAAAAAGTATTATTCTCTTTTATTTTCTATAAACCTCTAATTCGGTGACTCAAAAGAAAATGAGTACAAATAAATAGCATTTTTGAAAAATTTCCAGGCTAAAAGAAGATGAATGAATAATACATCTTAGAATTGGATGATTCAATTCATTTTGTTTTGAGATTGATCTAGTCAACTAATTCACAATCGACTTACACATCTTGGTTTAAAATGTGTTTTTTTTAAGTGCAGCACTAAAGTAGTGAAAACTTTGAAACTACTAAAACTAAATGGTTATTATATGTGTCTCGACAAAAGGAAAAGCTGAAAGATTAATAACTTCGAATATGTGATACATCAGACATTTAGTCAAAGAGTAAGAGTCATCATATTTTATGCTGTATTAGTAAATATATTATTTTGCTATCTATTTTTATATAAATGAATTTCTTGCAGTTCTTGAACACTTAGAAAAGTCATACTAAAAAATAGTCTAAAACGCGATAATAACCTTCAAAGTTAAATTTTAAAATCCATTTTTGATATGAGTAAATGGTTTTAACTGTGAGTCTAGACTCATCCGATTGGTTGGTTAACAGAAAAACTTTTGTGCTTGATCATAAAGTGCAAGAGAAAAACATTCTTTTTTATGTTTAAAAGTTTTCCGTAATAAACCACTTTTAGTGTGATGGCTTTCTACTATCGAATTTAGCTCAACACTATATCAAAATATTCGTTTACATTTAGAATATCTTTATTCAATGCGGAACTATCCGACTTTCTGTACGAACCTTATAATCGATTTTATAAGAAACTCGTTTCTTACGTAAGTCCAGGTTTTTTAACTCGAGAACAAGTATCATGCAAAAAAGGTCATATTTAGCGTCAGTGTGATAAACTACATTTAGTAACTTTAGCATACAATATACGTGACACAAGATCCTAGCATAGTTAGTATCATTCAAAATAGGCTAGTTGTATGTAAAACATGGTGGATCTAGACGAATATACTCCAAATAAAGAAATGAAGCTATTTATTACTTGAGAAAATCATGAATGCTGATTCAGGTTTGAACGAAGTGCCCGAGAGAGTACGAAACTATCCATATATTCTGTAATTTTCAGCGGAGCCAGTTTCTTCTAAAATTTGAGTAAACAACGGTGTACCAGCGATACATTATAGTAGCATGGTCCCATCAGATACAATTGTGCAATAAACTAACCAATTCATTAATCTTCTGTCTATTTTAAAAGAAATATAGTTCAAACGTAAGACTTTCATAAAAGATTTAGTTAGATGTCTACTATAAAATTGTGTTAAGATTTTGAGGAAAAAACTGCTTTGTGCTTCGCTATGACTTATTGCGTCACAAGAAGCGTTACTTATACAGTATTTACTGGAAAATAGCTTCTCCATAACCTTCTGTTTTGAAAACAAATGAAAAATCGTTATTTTTTTCTTTCTTTCAGTACAAGTAAATACAAATACTAGTCAAAGTCAATCGTACACGTTTTTACTTTTAACAGGAAGAAATACAACATCTGATCAAACAAAATTTGAAAATATTAGGCAAAAAAAGGTTGGCTTACCCGACTACCTCTTTTAGACAGGTTTTTTGTTAAATGTGAAAACATCTTAAATTAAAAAGAACAAACGCAGATATATTAGCTAAGTTTATTTACAAGGATTCTGGCTGATGTTTACTCTTTTTTACGGATTTTTCAGCTAAATGTCGCATTAAGGCATAACGTCGAAGTGGTTTTGCATCGTATGATTGTGATGTCTTTTCTGTTGTTACGGAAGACGATATATCTTCAATAGTATGTTCTTCGTTTTCGTTGTTATTATCGTTTAATTCTCCCTCTTCACAGCCACCAAGAACTAAATCTTTGTACAAATCATCCTCACCATCTCCGACATTATCCTCAAATATTTCTAGTTCATCTTGGTTCTTATTTGTTGATAAAATGACGAGTTCTTGACCATTGTGAGCAGACGAATGTGATTTAGACGGATCAACAAGCCAGTTTTCGACGGATACCAACTGATTATTCATCGATGGGGAAAGTGTTACTGGTTGGTGTTGATTATTCGAAGATAATTGCACCGTATTTGTGATGTTTAAATCTAAAAGAATACACCAGACTGTTTTCTTATTTAAGACTAGAATTTTTTTGACCACCTACTCAATACAGGAGGAACTGTTTCACATTTATGATTAGCATCCAAATTATATTTGTGATGTTGTGTTTCTATGTATGTTTGAATATCTTTAATATACTCTTGAAACTGACGTTGGCTTTCCAGTAACAGACTCTTGCAATTTGTTTCATTCTCATTGATAAGCACGTGTAAACGTTTACAGTTTTCATTTAGCTCATCATACGTGGTTGTTAAAGTTAAAATTTCATTTTCAATCAATGGAATTTCTTGTTTATATAACAAAATCTTTTTTTTCAAATCAGTATTTTTAGTGCGAGTTTTAACGGCGTAATCACCCAGTGACATTGTCGATGCAGACATCTAACGAGTAACTAAAATAGACACAAATTTATTTAAGAGAAATGGAACAAGCAATGCCGAAAACACAAAAAACCTAAGCAATCGGTTCCTGAATTAAAACCATATAAGCGTAACAGAAGTCAGCATTAATCCATTTGTCAGTTCTTCATCCTCCAGTCATCAGATAAAACTCAGCCTAAACAAGAAGGTGACTAGGTATCAAGGGGGGAAAAGCACCATCGGGCGAGTGTACCCATTCCGGAATACCTTTATTCTAGAATACCATTCCGTTTTTTAGTACACAAGCTTTTAGTCGAATGTTTAAATGCTAATAATAGTTGTAAGAGAAACTACAAGCGAAAGCAAATCTTTCATTTTAATACATTGCACGTTTTTTCTACTTTCTGCATGTATATTCAATATGTGCATGGTCTAGCGTGTGTTACCGCCCATGTACTAAAAATCGCATAAAATCAGCAATTAATCGTCCGCTTAATCTCGATTAATGGCCGATTTCTTGGTGAGTTTCAGGTGATTTTAGCGAATAATTGACGACTTTGTTTCTAGATACTAGGTTCAAACCCATATTAGAAAATACATACAACTTCTCAGATACCAGCTGTTCACTGGGCTCCTCGGCTTAAGGCTCTAAGGGACCATAGAGAAGACTCTTGACAACTCCGTTTTACTCTAAAATAAAAAGACGATCTAAATAGAACTGAATTTCTCGTTGAAATCGTTGGTTTCTTAGGGATAGTAGCAAATAAATAAAATAAATTCTGGTCCTTCTGATACCTGTATTTCGTTACAGACTCAAAATTTTTTGCTCGTATAATAGAACCAAAACAAAAAACTTTCTTCTATTCTAGAATGCCAGTACGTCATTCTAAGGCGACATTCTGGAATGGCATTCCAGAAATTTTGTACAATTTCCGGAATGTGCTTTTTACCGTTGCTAGGCATGCACCGATTAATAATCGACATTGGGGCATTCAGGAAAATCGTTCCCACTTGATTATAGTAAATCTCTCAGAATTGGGGAATGTCTCATTTTGTAGCGAAAAGTTTGTTCTACAAAAGTAAAGTGTTAAAAAGCTTTTAATGGTATTTGTGACAAATATAAGTATTCAAAAATGTGCAAAATCGAAAAAAAATAATCATCTTCGATTATTTTTTTTTGCGACTTTTGTGCGTTTTTGAATACTTATATTTGTCACAAATACCATTAAAAGCTTTTTAACACTTTACTTTTGTAGAACAAACTTTTCGCTACAAAATGAGACATTCCCCAATTCTGAGAGATTTACTATAATCAAGTGGGAACGATTTTCTTGAATGCCCCAACGTCGATTATTAATCGGTGCATGCGTAAAGGTGACTTTTCAGTATAACGTCTTTCAATAAGGAAAAACAAGCAAGCATCAATCATTAAGCAAAAAAAAATGGCAAACAAGCTTAATAAAGTGCATTTTAATCCAAAGAAAAAGCATAATTACAATCAAGCATAGCACACACAAATTTACCCAAAATACATTTGTTTCACAAGAGATCCATTCCATTTTCTGACTTAAAAAATTTCCATATTTTTTCACTTAATTGTGGTCCAATTTTCCTCGTTGTTGTCAGTACTCCTGCGCCACGACGTACTTGTATATCGGCCAATAAACGTTTTGCTTCCACTTCTGTTTGACACTGGTCATAGGCGCTCACTAATGATTGTATGGTTGGATATTGATTTGAAATAGCTTGAGCTTGCTCAATACCCACTAATGGAAATTGTTGTAGAACTTGCTTCCATAACAATTGTAAACATTGATTTGAATTTTCAGGATCGATTCGAATAGCTTTTAACTTTTTCATCGAATCAACATGAAATGTAAATGGTGACTGATTTTTTAAACGTTTTTGAGGCGCAACACTAACAGCCTTTGTAAAAGATAATACTAACAAAGCTAAATCGTTATCATTCTCAACGTATTTGATAACACATTGATTTAATAATTGTAACTGAACAAGAACATTTTCAAGATCATTTTGTTTGATAGTTAATCGTGGCTTTTTTTGATTTAACATTTTACAGAGATTATTGAATGAGCTAACACCGACAACACAGATTGTTGTTGACTTTTTCATTGAAAAGTTATTGTTGATCGTATCAAATAATTCTTTTCCTCCATTAGATCCACTGTCGTTTAAACAAACATGAACAAATTCAAACCATTGTTCGCATGTCATGAACAATAGTAGGTTTGATACAAATTCTTCATTAATATTACTGGCCGTTGCTGCTGCTGATGAGGATGATGCACCGGGATAGGTGGATATTGACCTTCAAATAAAATTAATCAGTTGGAAACACGAATCAGTGTTTACATTCGAATTTTTACCAAGTGATTGTATAAGGAATTGGCATTGTTTCCACTAAATATTTTATCTTTTTCTCATCAAATTGTTTACTTAATGATTTTCCCCATGGTTGATCAACAATATTCAAGTCAATCCATGCAGTAACATCTAAAGGCTTGCTCATGGCTCAAAAACACAACCTCAGAAACAGATCGTTTAATACTGTTGCAAAGATTTTAATATTTGATATCAACATAAAACGTATGCGTTCCGACGTAAATTTGTCTAGCACAAACTACTCTAAAAAAGAGATCAACTGGTGTCATCTGTGACCGACTGGCGTTCCACTGAACGTTGTCAATAGTGTCCAGCTAGTGTGACCTGATTCTGTCTTTATCACAGAAGTAGAAAGTTTTCCTTGCTGTTGATTTTCACTGTCACTAAACCTGTTGTCACTCGGATTAAATTTCTCTTCTTGACCGGTAACCGTTCAAGCTCATCATTTTCATGTTTCCACTGTCAACAAATTTCTTTTGTGTTTGAGCGGAATCGCGACGGGTTTCATTTTGAAAACCGAAATTTTAAAATTTTTTGCGCGTTTGGAATGGATTTCAAACCTACGGTACGACATCGAGCCCCACATCTCTTTTATTTTGTTTCCCTATCTCTTTTATTCTGGTCTGAGTCATCGATATTACAGGTCATGGACCTATGATGACTCTCGAGTGATTCGAAATAAATCAATCATCACATAGTGGTAAAAGATTTTCGCCAAAAAAAGTTGAACTTTAGATATTCAGAAGTGAACCGGACATTTTCAGAGTGAAAGCAGACAGATTCTTCTGAAGGTATAAACAACTTTTTTAATAAAGACAAACAAAAATTTCACCATAGTAAGTTTCATTCAGTCATCGATGTTAACATTATATTTTTTTAGCCTTATCGCTTTTATAGTCTGGTTTTTTCCTATTGGTCAAAGCAGACTGTATTGAAAAGAATTTTGTGGCAGGTTTTCAGACAGCATTTTAGAAAGAAAGTTGCTATTATTAACAGTATAAATGTTTCTTTATAAAAACAAATCACTATATGGATCAGAAGACCGGACGACTGCGAAATAGTGAGATTGACAATGATCAGATCAGGTGCTATACAAAAAGAATGAAACACTTCTTCTGATAGAAGTATTCTAAAAAGTTCCACAGTAGTATTCAAATATTTTCTTCTATAATTATTTTTTAGTAAAAAAGTTATTTGAATTTAAAAAATTGCTCTAAAGTAAAACATTCTCCTCCGAAAGCCGTCAGAGCAAACGACTACATATAATCACACCGACATCCCTACATCTCATACCGTCTTTTTATATTTTTGATTCTTATTTCTTGTTGATGTATAATAAACATAAACAGCAGCTATCACGTTGAATGTGAGATCTATTCTGAACGGTCACATTAAACAATTACGGTGCCTCAATAAAGTCGTTTTTTGGACATCGTTTAGTAAAACCCGGACGGATGTCTATTGCCATAAAAGTACCAATCAAAATCCCTTCAGAACTTTTTTTTTTATCGAAATGGCTATTACGACTGACATGAGACGACGTGCTTGAGACATGACAGAATTTGAGATTCTGTTGATAGAAACTTCAGAAAATTCACTATGAACGTTCATGTAAAATAATTGTTAATATCTGTCTCTTTAGTTTCTTTTCACTTTCTTTCTACTCTCATGCATTGTATATAGCCGTACAGATATTTTCTAGTTTGATCAAATGAATACGAGTTTCTCAAGTTGTCTTTGATAAAAAGAAATTTTCCAATCTTTCTAAGCCATATTATCATTGACAGAAGAGTAGAATAAAGTAGAATCATTTGTGACATTTTAGATGCATTGATACGGATGGATGAAATTCCAGTGCCTGTTGACCCAGTTTTGAAGGATGATAGTACCACATTAGTAACAACAAATAATGTTAAAAAACGTAAACATCGTAGTCGATCAGATAAAAATAATGGTATACACAAGAAAAAGTCAACCGCGGCACATTTACGTCGTAATATTCGAACATTATATACTGAAGAAAAACTACAAAATGATACATTAACAGCACAAAAGGCCGAACAAGAACGGATACAACGTTTACAAGAGACAAATTTTCATAGAATATTTCCACAACCACAAACGCAACCTTTATTGAATGAAAAAAAGTTTGGTGATGTTTACGTTTATTCATCAAATAATCAACAAAACAACAATAAGCGTTTATTTCATGTACAATTAAATCGTGGAAATGCTGCAGCTCAAACAGATATTCTTTCACAAAATACAACACTTGAAAGAAAAATATCGAATGACGATGATTGTATATTGATTGATGATGATGATGATGATATTAATGAAAAAGCGGCAACCATAAAAAAACTTGGTAATACCTTCTATATAACAAATCGAAATTATTTTTGGAATGTGGAAATTGTTTCTGGTTTTAGACGATACAACTAACGTGAGAGGGTTTTCTTCTGATGGTAGTGATTCCGATGTTCAATGTGTTACTAGTGATACAGAAGATATTAATGATACGTTAAGTAAAAAATTACAGCGTCTACATGTCGATGATCGTGTGAATGTTCCAGATGAGAATGGTATAAAAAGAGAGAAGAAAAAACATCTTTTTAGATGTAAAATAGTAAAATGTCATACTTTTTAGGTCTTATTTTGATAAACGTCAATCATCCCAGTGAAGATGATGATCTGTATATTCCAAAACATTTAACATCAACACTGAAACCACATCAAATTGGTGGAATTCGTTTTATGTATGATAATATTGTTGAATCAATCGAACAATATAAAAAAACGCCTGGTCTAGGTTGTATTCTCGCTCATTCAATGGGCTGCGGAAAAACAATTCAAGTATGTTTGATTTACTTTTCTTCTTATTTTGAATAATTTGTTTCTGTTTTCAGGTTATTGCATTTATTGATACACTGTTGAGAGATACAACAGCCAGATGTGTACTAATTGTTGGTACGTAATTATTTGCTATTGTGTTGAAAAGATTTCTGAATTAATTAGAGATCTTATCTTTAGTACCTATAAATACCATTCAAAATTGGGTTAATGAAATTAAGCGATGGACTCCCGAACAAATAACAAACAATGATTATGTATATAAACGTCCATTTAGTTTGTACATATTGAACGAAATGGCTAAAAAATTTGAACAACGAGCTAAAATAATTCAAAATTGGTCAACAAATGGTGGTGTGTTAATTTTGGGATATGAAATGTTTCGATTAATTGTAACAAAAAAAGGTGTAAACCCAAAAAGTGTTAATAAAAAAAATATAAATAATAATTTACGACTACGACAACCAATTCTTGTTGACCTTGAAGAGGAAGAAAAAACTGTTGATACAATGGATGGTAAGTTTGAGCTTTTAAAATTAGAAAAAAACTAAAATCATACCGTTTGAATGCAACTAATGCTGAGAAATTTTTAGATGTTCGAAATGCTCTATTGTCACCTGACCTTATCATATGTAAGTTATAAACACAATGTTAAATGACGATCTGTAGTAGACGGATGTATTTCTATTTTCAGGTGATGAAGGTCATCGGATTAAAAATCATTTAGCCGGTGTTGCACAAGCATTAAAAACAATTAAAACTAAGTATGTTGGGAAAGAGACCTCACTGTTATATTAATTTAAATTATACTATATTTACTTTTTAGACGACGCATTGTGTTAACGTAAGTTTAATCGAAAAGTATATTGTTTCTTAGGAATATGCAAAACTATTTTGAATCTCTATAGAGGATATCCGTTACAAAACAATCTACTCGAGTATTGGTGTATGGTTGACTTTGTAAGGCCGAATTATCTGGGCAGTCGTCAAGAATTTTCAAATATGTTTGAACGGCCTATTATGAATGGACAATGCGTTGATTCAACCGAAACAGATGTAAAATTAATGAAATATCGAGCTCAGTAAGTTATTATCCTTTTTGTTTTTAATATTTCACATTATTTTTGAATATTTTAGTGTATTACACAGTATATTAGAAGGATTTGTTCAAAGGTATTGTTGTCTTATCATGAAATTCCTTTGCATTTTAAGAATTATCATTTTCTTTTATAGACGTGGACACGATGTATTACAAAATGCACTACCACCAAAAGATGAATATGTTATTCTATTAAAATTATCCAATGTACAAAGACAATTATACGTAAAATTCTTGGATGCTATTGGCGCATTATCTTATTCAGAAAAATTAAATCCACTGAGAGCATTTGCCATTTGTTGTAAAGTAAGTAAACATAATTGTAAAATATCCAAATGTGTTCTATCATTGTTTTTAGATATGGAATCATGCTGATGTTTTGTATAAATTTATCAAAACTCGTCAAGAAGGATCTGACATTGATCTTGATATTGATTTGGAATTGAACAATAATAATGTGAATAGTAGTAATTCAAGAACAACATCCACAAGACAAACAAGTGTTCAACGTAATTATGCAAGTAGTCAATTACCGTTATCACTACATTACGATCAACAAATAACAACATCATTAATGGAAAAGAAAGAATTTGATTACGATTTTGTATGCTGTTTTTTCGTTTATCACGATCTTAATAGATCATCAACGTTTTTCTTATGTTAAGGCTAATTCAATTTTGAATTCTTATGTATGTGGTTTGTTTTCCAATGGTATCAAATTTGAAGTTGCCTTCACACTGTTGGATTTATCAATAGAACTTGGAGACAAAGTTCTTGTCTTTAGGTAACCGCATTATTATAAAGAAATTACTTGTATTTTAATATCAACACTATCGTTTTAGTCAAAGTTTATTATCGTTGAATATATTTGAAGAATTCTTATATCAACGGCGAATACCGAAAACCAATGATCAAATATGGGAAAAAAATAAAACCTATTTAAGTATGTATTCTACTTATTCTATTCTCTTTCCTCTACGTGATATAAATTTAGGACTCGATGGTAGTACAAGTAGTCTTGAACGAGAAAGATTAATTAATATTTTCAATGCACCAAATTCAAATACAAAATTATTTTTATTATCAACACGGTATATTACCGATTCAATCTTTGCTACAATATTTGTAATTTTATTTCATCTTTAGAGCTGGTTGTCTTGGTATCAATTTGATTGCGGCAAGTCGAGTAATAGTCCTCGATGTCAGTTGGAATCCTTGTCATGATGCACAGGCTGTCTGTCGAGTTTATCGATATGGACAAAAGAAGCATTGTTACATTTATCGTCTGATAGCTGATTATACAATGGAAAAACGAATTTATGATCGACAAGTGGCAAAACAAGGAATGTCTGATCGTGTCGTCGATGAATTACAACCTCAAAATCAGTTTACAAGAAATGAAGTTGAAAATTTATTAATGTTTGCTGTATGTACAATGTGTACTGTATTGTGAAAAATTATAGTATCAGCAGATCGATCCTACTTTTTACCCTACAATTTCTCTTTTGTTAAAAGATTTGGAAAGAAAAAAACATGTGAAACATATGCATGCGAGTGTATCCTTTCCGAATATATCATCAGAATTTTCTGATGGTTCTTTATTTTTTTGAAAGCAGCCCTTCTCATTTTTTCCTGTGAAAAATTATAGAACCATTCAAATTTTCTTTCGTGCATGAGCATGAATGAGTTTCGATTCTCAATGTTACAGTTCAAAAAAGCACGAAACACTAAATATGACTGATACCTTTTAGATAGCATCATCTTAAAGTTTTAATCGTTTTGAAAATTGGTTCTCTGTAGGACTTGCTTGTGTACCGTTAAAAGCAGCTTAACAATCAGTGAACAAGAAAAGTAAAAAGCTTTTCTTCTTTGTAGCCGTAAAGACCAGTGTTTGATCTACAAAATGAGACACTGCACAGATTTCTGGCACCAGGAACAAATATACTCGGTACGAGTACTAGTCAGAAGTCTCTTTTTACCATGTAAATATCCCTAAAAGCCTGCGTAAATTTTCATTTTGTGGCGTGTACTGGTATCGAGTACATTTATTCTTAAAATGAAAATTGAGAATTGAAACTCATTCATACTCATGCGAGAAAGAAAATTTGAATAGTTCTATAATTTTTCACAGTCAAAACAGAAATTGACACATTTTTCACAGTCAGAATTGAAATTAACAAAAGAGAAATTGTAGGGTAAAAGATATGATCGATTTGCTGATACTACAATGTTTCATAACACTGTAAAAATACGTTCTGTTTTAAAATTTGTTTATGACTCTTTGTTTTTAGGCCGAAGAAGAACCAACTGTTGCCGATATGTCGGATATTGAGAGAATATCAAATGATACTGTTTTATTAGATATGTGTCGAAAGCACTCTCAGTCGATAACTAAGGTACCATTTACTCATGAATCATTGCTGTCAGACAGAAAAGACCACCAATTAACATCAGCTGAAAAACGTCGTGCTCAAAAAGATTATCAAAATGAAAAACGAATGAATACTACTTGTTTTAAACAACGGATAACTGGAGGACAAAGTTCATCATACTACGCTAGAAAGTAAGTTGAATTCTTTGTGATGTTTTTTGAGAAGAATAATCGTTAATGATTCTAAACGCATTTCTTTATTATTTTAGTACTCCATTTCCCTCTTACTCAAACTACTTAAGCAATGATAGTCGTTTTTTGAGTCATCCATCATTAGCATATGAATCTCGTTTTCCATTTATCAATGGTAGTCAACAGCGTTCATCTTTATCTTCCACAACAGCTGCTATGACACCACTACCAATGCATTTACAACAAGCATCCACAAATCGAAAATTAAATGAATTAAAACAAAATGGAATTAATGTACAACAAAGTGTTCTTCAATCGCCACTTGAAGTTCAAGTGGATGCAACAAAACGAGAAATCATTCCAGCGAATACTCAGATTCATTTTATTCAAACACCACGTGGTTCGTACATACGAACTCCCGAAGGCAAATTTTTTGCTATTCGTCTAACCCCAAACACTGACGAACAAGAACAACGACGACCATCTTCAAATACTCTTTTTGGAGGTAAGAATTAAATTTTTTCTCTCATCTTAGAGAACTTTCGTGATTTTGTTCATTTATTATTTATGATTTATTTATTTTAGATGCATTTGATTCTGTTTCAACAATATCATCCTCCCCCTCATCATCGTCGTCTGGACTACCGCAATCTTCAGCAACAAATACTTTGCTAACAAAACCACCACTACCACCCTCTTTTTCTGATAGGACTGTCGATCCACTATTTTTTCCATACAACACTCCGTTGATAGATCTCAATGAAGATGATGATTTAAATTTTATTGATAATAGTCAAACAGGAAGCACGAATGTTGATTCAGCGTTTGATTCACTATCGTCCTGGCAAAATAACTTTTTTCAAAATACAACCAATGATAATAATCTTACATCTTCTTCGCCATTAGACTGTCCAGACTTTTTTGCCGATCGATTCGGTACTACAGATCGTGAATCACCCAATGTTTATCAAAAAACATTAACAAATAACAATATCTACAATTCAACAGCATTATCTGCTTCAACTTCTCTCTAATAAATTTAGATCTGAATGTTTTTTGTGCATATACATCCATTATCAATTTTGTATTTCAGTCGGTTGTGTTTCTTTTCTAATTTCGAACATGTAATTTGTTTTTTTTTGTACTGTGTAGTAGTATCTCTTTCTCTCTCTCTCTCTGCGCTTCTTTATTGTATTTGTAGCTTTGTATTTTGTCTCATTTTTCATATTCCTCGTTCAGACACTTTTCTCCACTTACATCCTCATCGGGAAGATTTTGTGTTAATAGTTTTTAATTATAATGCTGTTGTGGCTTGACTTCACAATTGAGTTTTGCTTTTACCTTTGTTTGTTCGTCATACGCTCTGCTTCCATTTCTGATCAAATTCAAACTTTAGGAAAATTCCATCATTCCATTATCTCTCACCTATAGATAAATCTTTTCCCATGCAGAAAAATAGAAAATGGTAGAGAGAATTTATTTTTGTTTGCTACAGTGAAATTGAGTACCCACCCACTAAGATGCAATCAATACTTCTAGAATTTTGTGTTCAAGAATTTTCTTGTTTCTTTTTGTACATGTTGTTAAATTTGTTCTTGTTTTTATGTTGTTGATACTGCAATCGAACTCATTTTGAGACTAGTTTTTCTTTTTTTTTTTGTTTATCATAGATCAGAGATACATATGTATATAGAGATTTTTGTCTTGATGATTAAAAATATCTATTGCTTGAAAAAAAACTTTTTACGCCAAAAATTATCATCACATTATTTTTTTAAATATTTGCTGAATGGAAAGAAGGACGTTCATTAGGACATATCACCTTCTTTTGGTGAAAAAATATCTCATTGTTATAGGAAATGTGAATACTACACCGGCCAAAATTCAATAGAAATTCATGTGGTCAAGTTCGTCGAGAGTAGAGCACTGCAGGTTACGACTTTTTGGCAGCCTATGACTTAACCTATAAAAACCTTCATAACCTCAACCTAACTTAACCAATAAAGTTTTTTTCGTTAGCTAACCTAGGCTAACCTAACTTAACTTGTGCGGTTTTTTGTCTGGAAAAGCCAACCCAAAAAAATTACGTAAAAACAAAAGATCGTGTAAAACATCATCATTTAAAGATTATCTTGTTCGTTCTAATACACGACTTGGATGTTGATTCTGTTATCGTTGTATATTCGTCCTCTTTTAACGAACATAGAATTTTTTGTTTTCTTCCATTTTCTTTTTCGATTCTGCCATCTTTCACTCTTATTAGTTCAATTTAAATTTAAATTAGAGAACATAAATCAAAATTTTATCAAAGATATCTTAAACGATGAAAGAACCGCACTGTAAACGTGAAAAAAGAAAAGTCCGTGGTTTTTCCACCTACTTTTCTCTATACAAAAGTTCGTTCCATCATTGAGTAAAGTCCGTGAAGTATGTAATCACGGATTTTTCAACTCGGAAGCTGTCAGTCAGATCTGTGATTTTTCACGCATTTCACTTCATATTTTCACGAAGCTGAGCGACAGCTTCCGGATTGAAAAGCCCGTAATTACATACTTCACGGGTCTTACTCAATGATGGAACGAACTTTTATATGTGGGGTTCATCGTGTTAAAAATCGATTATCAACGTAACTTATAACCTTACCTGACCGATAAATTTGCAATCTAAACCTAACCTGATCTATAGATTAAGTTGGGCTTAATCTGTAGGACTCTAATCAGGAAGTCTAGTTAAAACTACGCTATGTGTTCACTGTATTTTTTAGAATAGATGGCTCAAGCATATTTTTTCATCTTTGATTTTTATTATATGCGGGGTTCCAACGATGAACAAGATCTGTTACCAGAAGCAATTATCTTTTTCTATCCTTCCCAACAGAAAGATCAAGTAGTTTGCTACGTCTTTTCCCGTGTGTGTCAGCTTATAAAAGCATTTTTAGTCATTTTTGATTTTGAAAAAAATTTTGGATTTGCTGCGTGTAACAGTGATGTCTTATCAATGCTGCTGCTTGTAGAATACAGAAAAAACAAGAAAATATTCGATATATCTCATGTCATTTTTAAGAATAGAGTGTCTTCCAAAATTCAATGATTAAAATTGCTCTATAAAAAATATTAGCGCTGTTTAATCTATATGGATGTTATAGTCGGTTTTAAAAATTATTTTTTTGTAGCGATTGCTTGAATGCGGTGAACTAGTTGGTCTTGCTCAATTTTTTAAACATGATTTATTTTCATCTGTACCAAAAACGTTTAACTTTCGAAAAACAATTGTTACACATCAACATTATGGTCGAATTAGTGGGGTTTGTATTTACTACCATCGTATCAATTTATCTCTGTTTAATTGTTACATGTATGTCATATTTCAGTTTCTTTGTCTTCCCTCTGCAAAATATACGGCTTCCGAGGCAGATTTATATTTACAACGCATTCTAAACCTATTCAATCATACTTATGGAACTTTCAATGAGTTATATGCCGTAACAGTGATTAATTCTACCTTGATCAAACCTGAAATATGTTTTTGATTTTAGTATTACAATTCGAATACGGATCAAGCCGCGTTTCTTGAACGAGCACTAAAACCGATAGTACACTATGTTTTTACTAACCAACGTACAATAAGATCGGTTTTATCATCTGTAGATTATGTACAATTAAGCAAAGTATTTATCACGACTATGTTCTACATAGATGAATAGTTATTATCGTTTTATTTTTTGTAGAATAATGAAAAAACTTTATTGGAAAGTAAACATCTTCTTGATTATTTAATATGTAAATATTCATTATTAGGTGCGATTATCGGTTTTCAAGACAAGTAAGAGCCTTAGCGTAGTGTATAACTATTACGCTAGACACTTATGCATTAAATAAATGGTTTGTGTTTGAATTTTTTTTATAGACTTTTGTACACCACACTCGATACACAGACCACATATTTTTTACAAACATTTCTTAAAATAATAGATCAATTACCGGTACAGAAAACGAGTTTACTATTCACCATTCTAGAAGCTAACATGATATCTTTTAGCATGTAGACTATGAGTTCCTATAGCTATCAAGTTAAAAGAGGTTTGAAAGATTGTTAGAGAGACTACTAAGTTATGTATCTGATATTTTTATTTTTAATTTCTACTTCAACTAGTATAGTATACTTGACTTTATATGATATTTATTACTTTAGGCTGAGCTAATCAATGTTCCTTATCAACATGATCTATTAAAAGGCGCATCGTTGGTCCGATTTCATGTCCTTCAATCTTTAAATTTATTTTCGTCAACACAAACAATTGATATTACCGATACTATATCGACAGTAGCCATATCATCAAGTACTGAAGATACAACATCGATACTGAGTGGCATTAGTAATTTAGATAATGATTTTGTAACATACGATAAACGTCGACCATTAGAAAATCTCTCTGAATCGTATGAAGATACTGGCTTTGATACTGATCCTCTAGAAAGCATTGACTTCATCGATGACAGTTTATCATCGTCATCGATGAGTTCTGATAACCAAGAATTATCAATGATGTCAAAATGTCAGTCATTACCGCTGATATCTGGAGTAAGAGATTATATCATATATTACACTTCAGTTTTTGAGTTGTACTTCTTATTTAGGTCACACAATCACAGGCTCAAAATATTCCTTATTCATCGTCGTCTCGTCAAGCTTATTCAGTATCAACAGAGAATGAATACGAGAATGAAGAATTTTATCGTCGATCGATTGACCAAAGTTCAGATCATCCATTTGAACAATGGCCAAATCAAACGACACAAAAAGGATATAGTGATGAATCAGACCAAAAAGAGCCATCACGTTCACGTGCATCGACTATTGAAGATATATGTCAAGATGATGAGGGTGAGGGTGAGGGTGAATTAGTTCAAACGTTAACATCTACCCCACCAAGTGCGAATAAAAATTTCTCAATACGTCTAACGGAAGTTGATCCTCATAACAATGTAGATAAAGAACCAGTAATCGGTCGAGAAAAAAGACGCCTACCATCCTCGACGGCAAAAAGTTTTTTAGGATCTGTTAAAGATGAACAACATCACCAACGAATTAGTTGGACTGATATACCGGAATTAAATATTGAACAAGGAAGAGATGAAGTTGTTTTGTATATTCAAAAAAATTCACACATGTATTTTGTGGGACTTATTCAGAAAGAGAAATGTTATGAAAAAGAGGCATGTAATGGAAAAAAGAAAGAGAAATGTGACAAAAAACAATTTATTGAAAAATTGGTAAGTTATTTAACCGTGTAGTTCAATCAAAATAAAATAGATTTTATGTATTTTTTTAGTGGGGTATTGTTTTGCAAACATTAAGCGAATTGGAAACAGAAATTCAACTGAAACCGGCTAGTGTAGATGTAAGTGGTAATTATCTACATGATATGTTTGTTTTGATATTTTTTCTTTGTACTTAGAAAATGACAGAAGTTAAGTTCAACTATAACGAAATGAACCGAAGCATCGATAGTAAGGTTAAACGAAGAAAATTATAGAATAAATAAACAACTATTCGCTTTTCTTTCTTCTCATTGTTAGCTGATCGAACGATGGATAATGATGGTTCAATAGCCGAAGAATTTACGCGTATTGCGCTCGATGGTCGATTTGCATTGAATAATAGAAAAGATCGAAAAGCAGTTGCTCTAATGTAAAATAGCAAATTTTTCTTATTATCACACTGATTTATGCTACATTTTTAGGCGTGGTGATAATTCTGTATTTGTTGAACGTCGATTACCAGATCGTACAAGTTTCACTTTTCATAAAGTAAACTCAAAATAATAATTATCATAAAGAAAAAAACAATGTTCTCTTCTAAACTATTATTTTTCGTTCTTTATAAACCAAATAAATTTACATTATATTTCAGTATTAAATTTAATAGAACTGAAATTAATCGTAAATTGTTCAGTTCATGTAAATAAAACTGAAATGATGTGTTATATTATATTGCCATTAGTAATTTTTTCAATAATATTTTTACTTGCTGCTAAAAATATCAGTACTAATTATCTTTCATGGACAACTGCCTTGGATATGCTAAGTATGTGCCAGCAGTAGGATGATGAATATAATCTTTCTATCACTCGCATCTAGCTCCTAATCAATTACCATTCAATACATCATTCATGTAGGTTTTTTATAATGATTTGTATTACACAAGGTAAAGTTTCGAATAAAATTTTCATGACCAATGTGCGTATTGTGCGTATTTATATAGTAGTATACTACCGACAGAGTTGAAAATTCTTAAATTAACAATACAAAAATTGGTCAGTACCAAAAAGTCATCAAACTTTTTTCTTTATAAACATTTCTTTCCTCTCTTTGATGAAATAGCAGACAAAGACGAGAAATGTTTTGTTCTGTAAAGAAAAGATTTCTCTATACTTGAATAAACACACTTGCATGTAAAATTGATTGACAAAGTTCAAAGCGAACGATACGGAACCAATTACCAAAATAATTCCCTAACTAAGACGATAATGTTGACAAGTTATAATCTGTTATAATAGTTGAAAATCTAAAAATTATTAACACTTCAGAGCATCTTAATTAATCTACAGTATATTTTAATGGCATGATCATTTAAAGTCATCGGAATAATGAAACACGAACAATGAATTTGTCACTATTATCGCGAGAAACACTTCGATTCTGTTTGTAATTTATAATATTATTGAAAAGTAAACTCACTGAAGAAAATGTATAATTCATAAGTTAGAATATATATATATGTGTGTATGTGTGTGTAAAATGCCTATTAAGAAAGACGTTAGCTTATTATCTATTGACAAAATTTCTGATTCTACAGAGACAGTAAATCTGTCATTCATACTGATAGTTTCTTGATGTATATTCCGTTTAGAATTATTCTGACAAATTATGATTCAATTAATTTGTTTAAAAATATTTCTATCATTCTGCAAGAAAAAAATAAGATATTTTGTACAAAAAGTTTGTATTTATCTTGGAAACATAACAGCCAATGAAATGATAATAGCAGATAGATAAATGAAGAAAAGTGCTCGATCCAGAACTAATGCTAATTGTCTCCAATCATTAATAAGTTTCGCTTTTACTTCTTTATCTTCTATTCGTTTTCTTGTTGTACGTAAATAATCGCGAATCTCTTTTAAATCAGTCTCAACCGTAATAAATGTAATATTTAATTCTGTAATAGGTTCCTGCTTGCTATTACCTAAAGCTGAAATAGCAGGTGTTGTTTGCTGAAACGGATAATAATGTGATATATGATCACTATCGTTTTCAAATGCTCCATAATCTTTTCCATCGCCACTACCAGAAGAATAATGGTGATTATTTGTTGATAATGCTGCTCGTTTTTCATGAAACGATTTAAAACGTTCTTTTAGTAATTCAAATTTTTCAAATTTATCACCATCGCACGTAGTTTTTATTGCTAACATGCCATTAGCAGCATGTTGTTGATATGGATTCGTGTACGGTACCATACGAAAAAATCGTGCCAACCATTCAAGAAAAATCTAAATATAAAATCATAAATAAATAGTAGGATAGTAATAATAAAGAAAATTTACCTTTCTTAATAAATTTGGCATTGGTCCGTCACCTCGGAAGTAAATATGTACAACAATCGCACACAAAAATGATGATGTAGCAATCATTCCCATGTTTAAACAATAATAAGCACCTAGAATAACAGACAAATGATACATATCTATAACTAAAAGATGCTTAGTTCTTACCTATTCTGGGTATGTGTTCTGCATTAGATGGCATATTTTTATATAATAAAAGCAATAACACGAAGAATGATGTAAAGATGTTCATACCTAAAAGCAAAAAATCATTTGATATCTTTTATATGAATTAGTTTGTTATGTTTACCCAAAACCAATTTGGATGGACTTTCAGGCTAAAAAGAATTTGATCACAAGTTAGATAGTAAACTGTTTGTCTATATCAAAGTTACTTACCGGAAGCCAAAAGAGAATCATCGTTAAACACGATAAGAGTACACATGGTAATATCAAAATATAATTATAGAATCCCCCGCGTCGTTCCAAATGGAGAAAAAATTTTAAATCAACATATTTTTCTGGACAACATGAGTAACCGTCAACATATCGTGCGGCATGGTTGCCAATTATTGTCCATTCATTTGATTTAACATAATTGTCTAAATTGAACTTTTCTAGACCTTTATAGAATGTTAAATTCACTTTTGATAGATCATATGTCCATGAACCAAACTTCATTGAACAATTCTGACGATCGTAAGGAAATCGTCTAATATCAATTTGACACGTGCTTTTAAAAATAGACATTGGTTTCCAAAACACAGTGCCATTATAATAAACAACAGCTAATACTTCTCGTTTCTCTTCAAGCCGAGTATCGGCACTAAAATATATTATAAGACAAGCTACAACCGACAAAAAGATATGATCCTAAGTTGATCAGTTATTTACTGGAAAAATTAACGAACTTTATCCGATCAGAACAGACTAATGCATACGATTCACTTTCTAATGTATACGATGCTTCAACGGAGGCTTTGTCGTTTAATTTTCATAAAAGCAGGAGCATATTTCACACTTTGTATCCATTCCTCATCAAGATTTCGTTGAACCCCTATCTTTACAGATATTATGATTATTTTTCTTCTTTGTTCACTATGATTTATTCCACTGCTACGATCGTTTTGTTTTAGTTGTAGTTTTTTTCAAAAGCTTCAGGCGTCGTTGTATACACTACTCCATAAAAGTAGCACGATCCGGTAACTAGAATATACCTTGAAGGTTTAAAGTAATCTAGATCGATTTTGACTGAGTTATGAATTTTTTAATTTTCTGTTTAACGAGCCTAAGATGGGTTTTCAACCTAATATAGGTTTTCACTAGATTTTTAAATTTCACATTCAATGTACATCATAATCATGAACATATAACCATAGAAATCTATGCTTTCGAAAAACGTATGTGAAACGTTTGTCAAAAAGATTAAATGTTCACCATCAACCTAGAGCGAAAATTTTCAATCAAAGTTTTTTGTTCGAAAACCAAATGTTAAGTATGCTATTCGACCCAGTTTTGTCTGCTGTTCACAAGTATTTTATTCGTTTTGCTATAAAATATAAAGGAAGTGAAAAGGGCGCAAAATAAGTGAAATGGCGAAGTTCAGAGGTGAGGGTGTAATCTTTTTGACAAACGTTTCACATACGTTTTTCGAAAGCATAGATTTCTATGGTTATATGTTCGTGATTATGATGTACATTGAATGTAGACTCTGTAGTAGAAAGAGCGGCCCTTAGTTCCTCATCCTCGCTGTTCTACGTATGTTTCAATCGTGGGTGCTCGTTCTCAATAAATTTCCAGAACCACACAATAGTTAACCTTCATATTTTGGCTAGATAATCTACAGACACTGTAGAGCCCTTGATGCGAATTTGAGGTCAAAATGATTCACAACTCACTCTATAGAGTAAGTTGTGAATCTTTTTCCGAATTTTCAACAAAAGAAAACAGTCCTCGCCCGTAAAATAACTGTATTTCACCTCTCTTAGATCAGGAGTTATTGATGTTTTACGAAAAATAAATGAAACGCTCATATCTCATGAACGATCGTGCAAACGAGGCTCATGCTGATCAGCATTCAGTGAGAGCTATGATCTCATACAATTAGAAGTCACTAGCTATCATGCTTCTTGAGTTACATGGAAGTGCTACTTTTGTGGAGTACTGTATATAATGACGCCTAGTCTATGCATTCACCTAAACCTGAGATTCTCATTTCCTATGATTCAGGTGTCGCAGAAGTTCGCCGGATTCGATGATATTCAAAATAAACGGAAACATCAGATGTCGATCATACTGAGTCTCTTAACAATGTTTCTTTTTAGAAGAAAATTTAAAAATCTAGTGAAAACCTATATTAGGTTGAAAACCCATTTTAGGCTTGTTAAGCAGAAAATTAAAAAATTCATAACTCAGTCAAAATCGATCTAGATTACTTTAAACCTTCAAGATATATTCTACTACTACTTTTGTTTTTGAAAGGTGTTCTAGAAATTTGGTGAAGATTTTTTGACTAATCTTAAGTATAGACTCTGGTTCGAAAAGTAAATTTTGAAATAGATAGTAAATCTAAAATTTTTGATATTATAAGTTGAGTACCGCTTTATGTGAATATGTTATTAATTGCCCATGATTTCTTCGTTGTTAATAAAAACTTATTTTTCTGTCAATATTCCCCATATAATGTCTTCAAATTCTATCATTAGAAGTGATAGGGATTATGATAGAGTGCAAGTTGCTAATCGTATTCGCTTTGTAAAGAGACTATTATTAATAAACATATAGAATATACGTTTTATTTTTCTACACATGTATATCTATGTTACATATTGTTCCACTCTTCCTAAGTCGTTTCAGAAAAAAAATGATGTACAGATGGTTAATTAACTGACTACTTGTTTTCATCTCTCTCTGAGTATATTGTGTGAAACTCAAAACTAACACGCACATACTAGTTATATAAAGCAACATCCGGTGTCCAGATGCTTTTCACGGGAAGTCGAATATCGAATAAGCCTTCTAAATAAAGAAAATATATTTTTTGAAATAAAAGATGAGCTACAGATAGAAGACGAAACCATTACCATAGTCTTTAGGATCCCATGTGAGTGATCTGTCTTCCCATTCCTGAAATAAACTAATGCAAACTTCGAACAACAAGTAAATTACATGTGTAGAAAATGCTGTACTGACATATATTTGCCATTGATTTGTAATTAAGACTTGATTTTTTTCATCCTAAAATAAAAAAAAGGAAAAGATATCATCGTTATTAATATGTCTTAAATTAGTTGCCTGTTTCCTCCTTGTCTAATCCGCACAAAGACTTCAAAGGTCATATACATCGTTTCAAGTTTCAGTAAGAAAATATCAACTTTCGTATCTGTATTCATTTACATCCGTGAAGAACAAGAACTTGCAAAAGTTTTGTTCATTCATATAATTAACAACAACATAATTTTACTTTTCGATTTTTCTACTGAAAAAGGAATTCTCACCAAATCTGCGATTTGAATCAGTTGTAGACCAAATCGAACTTCTACTTCTTCGCTCATATTCTTCACCGGTCGCCCCCATTTCACTTGATAATTATCCAATAGATCACAAATGAGTCGTTGTTCAGCCGTCCAATGTTGGACATTGTTTCTTAGACATTTCTGACCCAGTACAAGCCAAATACACAATTCTAAAAACGAAAAAAATCTAATATCATCTTTGAGTTAGTGTTTGTCAATTAATATCTAACGTCACGAAACTAGAGATACAAGATGATAAACGATCTCAGTATATTTATAATGTGCATACATCGATATGTATTGGATTAGTTTTGTAATTCGATACTGACTATGTTAATGATTTATAAACTGGCTATAGATATATCAGGTTCAGTGAATACAAGAATTCAGAGGCTAATTCTGTGTTCTATTTAAAACAAACAAGCAAGTCATAAAACAAATAAAATAGATTAGTCGATAATATTTTCGAGATAAAAAGACAAGTGATATGCCAGGTATACAAACACTAATATAAGAGTAATCAATATTTAGGTAAAGTTCACTCTTAAATGACAGGATTATCCTAACAAAGAAATTATTTCGAAGAGTATTTTTTCGATATCGTGAGTAAAATTACGTTTCTTCAAATGGTATATAGTGAGTTCACTAATTATTTGATTACCTTTATTTTAATGTTTTCCTCATTTATGATAGCAAAAGGACATTTGAAAAAAGAAGATTTGAGCAGCTGAAAGAGTTTCGAATCACAAGATCAGCGGATGTATGAGAACTCCACCAATATTAGTGAAAGCAGAATTTATGAACAACTCAAATCTCTGAAGTTGATCGGAAGCTTTTTGCAAACAACTAGACAAGCGAAATCGATGGAAAAACATCAGAAAACATGGCTTCGTAGTCCTCTATGAACTGAATGCAGTTTGATGAAACTATGTTGTGGAGATATATATGCCCACTATGCCCACAAATGTTTACTCTATTTGATGAAGTTGTTTTCAAAAAGCTTCCGATCAACTTCAGAGATTTGAGTTGTGCATAGATTCTGTTTTCACCAATATTAATGGAGTTCTCATACATCCGCTGCTCTTGAGATTTGAAACTCTTTCTGCTGCTCAGATCTTCTTTTTTTCGGATGTCCTTTCCCTATCATAAATCAGGAAAACATTAAAAAAATAAAGGTGGCCTGACCATTATTGAACTCATTGTATCCTATCTCTGAAATATATTCAAGAAACCAATTGAGATCGAGTTATTGAAGTAAATGAAAAACTCTTTTTTCAACAATGGTTTTTGTTGATTCTCTTGAAACTGTATTACATAAGCACAATGTTCATTCCTTTGTACTGAAAAACAAGCAGATTATGTATAAGAGGCATTAAAAATCTATTTTTCATGGTAGTTATCACCTACCTGAGATTAAAGCAAAACAAAAATAATATTTAGTGTGAGCCATTTAGATAATATATTATTCTTTATATATTATTAATACATGCATTTATGATAGGTAAGCATCATAAATATTTGGATTACGTGTTATGGATGTTAATGAAAATAATGTCTCACATATATAAAGAGAAAAAAAACACATCAAACATACAGCCAACTTTAAATTAATTCATTCATACATTCGCTCGTTGAGAGGGTATATTGTCAGTTTCTTTCTCTCACACTTATCGTTCTTTTTTCTCTGCTCTTCATCAACTTACAGAGTTATTTTTATTTTTCCAGCAAAAAAAGATTTTCTTTATAGAAGATATTTCTCTCATATTTCGTCAAATTGCTTGATTTCCAAGTGTTCTGTTCCGATTATATTATTATTTTTTTCACTTGACATGATACTTTACACTGTACAGCGTCGCATGGGATAATCATGGTATCCGTTCGAAATATTTTTAATCAACAATTTTTATCAGACAAGTGCAAATTATTATTTTTTTCTCTACTAATTTAATTTAGCAAAAATATCATTTTCAATCATTCTTAAGCCTTTTTCTCTGTCTGTTTGAATTCCCTTCTGTTTTAGAAAGAAAAAGTGGTTCACGTCCAAGATTCATGTACAGGACAGGCTTCTGACTTCAAAATGAGATCAAGATACATGAGAGTTGAGGAAACATTGTCAATTGTACTAATTAGTAGCATAAAAAATAACCATTGAAATGATGAAAATTTTTTCTATGTATTTAAGATAATATGCACCTACTGCACATAATTATCACATAAAAATTAACTGAATGACTTACTGTTATAAGTCACGGGAAACTTTCATAAAATTGATTGGCACTAATGATATTTGGAAAATGTTTACATTAGTGAAGAAGGAAGGATACCGCTGTGTAATGGTGACAAATCAGGCTCGTTGGTTTCAAGTAGTA